TGGTCTCTACACAATTTTATTTTCATGACATATGCCTTTAGCCAAAATTTTAATTTAGTCAGATCACTTTATTATTTGGCTTAATAAATAATGACCCTAACACATTTAAATATGTATCATATATATACATGACCCAAAATTTGCCAACAATCTCCCACTGGTCACAAATATATATGTCTTTACAACCTTACAAATGTGTTAGACTTTATGAGCTCAAAATTGTCATTATATTCCTTTAGCATATTCCAAAAGTCCTGTCCATTAATCATATCAGGATATAGAACCAAACCAGCTTTTCATTGCATCATCGCAACTAAAATCAACAATATTCATCTTGAATCCAAATGAGTTTCATACCTTCTGGTAATGGGACAAGTTCCCAAACCTTATTGTCTTGCATGGACTTATACTTCTCCTTCATTGCTTCAATCCACTTTTGAGAGTTAGAACCTTGTATAGCTTGACGGAAGTTAACTGAGTCATCTTCCATTATATCATTATTTTCCTCACGTTCCTAAAGAAATACCATGTAATCATCCGAAATAGCACTTCTTCTTTCTCTAGTGGATCTCTGCAAAGTTATTAGCTCATGATGCACAGGTTCTTGAGGATCTTGAGTTTGTTCTTCATGAACAACCAAATCATTTTGAGTAAGGGATTCATCAACAATGCCTTGTGGAGGTTCCGAACTTACTTTATCAAAAGTAACTATTTGAATTGGTTCTGAAATTGTTACCGATTCTTCCTCCAAGATAAAGTTCTTAATCTTATTCTTCCCCCCAAACTCAATATCCTCAAAGAACGTAGCAGTTCCCGTCTCAAAAATTGTCTTTAATGTGGGATCATAAAATTTATATCCCCTGGATCTTTCAGCATAACCAATAAAATAACTACTTACTGTCCAGGAGTCCAATTTCTTTTCATTTGGCTTATAAGGCCTTGCCTCAACTGGACATCCCCACACATGGAAATGCTTCAGACTAGGCTGTCGCCCAGTCCGAAGCTCATAAGATGTTTTGGTAGCTGCTTTAGTTGGTACTCTGTTTAGAATATAAGCTGTCATATTTAGTGTCTCTCCCCAAAGTGATTCCAGTAAGGTGGAATGACAAATCATACTCTCTACCATATCTTTAAGAGTGTAACACAAGCCCAAACGTCACAATTTGATGTTACCTGAGCACTTGTGCCATAATTCACTTGAGTGAGTATTTTCAATTTTACATTTAGTACCACATGATTCTGTATTAAGGGTTTCATTATAGGTGGCCACAATATCAAGTAAATACTGATCATCATAAATCAAAAGTGAACCAGTTTCAACAATATCTGAATTAAAAGACAAATTGAACTTATTGTTTCCAAATGAACACAAATAACCTAATTTGTCCAAATAAGAAACTGAAACCAAATTCTGTCTAAATGACGGCACAACAAAAGTGTCTTTCAAATCCAAATAAAAATTAGTACTTAATAACAATTTAAAATGCCCTATAGCTTCCACCTCTACAGATTTTCCATCTCCAACATAAATCCATCTTTCAGAATCAATTGGCTTCCGGTAGTTTAGGCAACCCTTTCTTTTCACGCCAAGCATGATATTTATCACATTTCTTCTTTATGTGTCCAGTCTTATTGCAAAAGAAACATTTATTTTCTTGAGTTTGTTTCTTTTGTTCTGGACCCTTAGCACCTTCTTTTTCGAGATCCTCTGATCTCTTTCTTTTGCCCTTAGCCTTGGAGGTGCTTGCAAAATGAGCACTTTCTGTCTTGTCTTGCTTTAGTCTTTCCTCTTCTTGTACGCAATGTGAAATGAGCTCATTAAGAGACCATTTATCCTTCTGACAGTTGTAAGATACCTTAAATTGATTAAACGTTGCAGGAAGAGAAATCAACACCAAATGAATGAGCAAGTCTTCTGAGAGTTCAAGCTTTAGTGCCTTGAGTTTAAAAACAATATTAGACATGCTCATAATGTACTCCTTGATATTTCTTTTGCCTTGATATTTCATGGAGATCAAGTTCTGAAGAAGAGTGCTTGCCTCCGCCTTATCGCTTTTTGCAAAGCGCTGCTCAATTTCAGCAAGAAATTCTTTGGCACTTGTTATCTTTTCAGAAATAGTGCCCCTAAATACCTCCGAGATGTCACGCTTAATGATCATTAGACTCATGCGATTTGAGTGATCCCACTTCTCATAATCTCTTTTCTGTTCAGAGGTACTTGAATCCGTAGGAGTAGGGGGTTGCTCAGTCCTTAACGCAAGATCCATATCCATGCAACCAAGAACAATATCAATGTTCTCTTTCCAGTCCTTAAAATTTGTTCCATTAAGGACCGGAACGAATTTAAATTGGCGGATACGTGAAGCAATTGTAGTCTGAATTTAGAACACGAGAAATAAACTAATTATGCTCACATTATATAAAAAATAAATAATATATATTCAAATAGTGGTTTAACCCATCTCAAGATACCCAATGCACCATCAATATCAAGTCTTTGGACGAGTAATATTAACTGCTAGAGGTATCTTGTTGTAATAATCAAACATTGACAATAAAGCACGTCCAACAACAAACCAGTCTTTGGATTGATTTATCATCGACAAAGCAAATCCTTATAATTATCACATGTTTATCATTACAAGTGTGTATGCAATTCGGCCAAATATTAATCTTCCTTTGGGCTGACTAATACTCGCATGAATATACACAAACACTAACATTCAATATTTTTAATGAACTGCCCAATTCAAGAGAAGTTACTTTGGTGACTTCTTGACTCAATTTGCTCACAAAAAATATTAAACTACCAAAAATTGAATATTTTATTTATATAACAAAACCAAATATTTAATATTTGCAAACTAATTCAAAAGAGAATCATCTCATTAGAATTCTACTAAGGATGAACACCTCCCTAAAATCTCACTAGGGATGAAACAAAGATAGTTCTAAGTCTCTTTAGCATACTACTCTAAACCCTAAAAGAGAATTAAACAGGTAATCACTCGAGACCCTAATTTAACATCAAATTTTCCTTAAATTCCTAGGGGATAGAGGCAATAAAATAATAACAGCCACACATGTGGAAACATTCACCAGTTGCCTAAGATCCTCTATGTTGGGAATTTCCCAAACACTACCCCCAATTCCAAACCCATAAAATTAAATAAAAACAAAAGATTTAAAAAAGAACAAAGAACTCAATACAAGAAAGATTGAAATTTGAAACATTGTTTCTTTCTCATTAAAACTTGAAACTTAAACCGAAATAAAAGGGAAAACCGAAGAAGAAGAAGAAGAATCCATAGCTTCCTCCACGATTCCATCAGCAAGCAGAATCAGATTGGGGATATTACCCCCAAATTTAAATTTTAGGGTTTACGAAAATTAGAGATTATTCTCCACTTAGGGTTCATAAAATTGGGTAATTTGAATTGTTTAAAACAAAATTAATCCTAATTTTCATAATTAGGGTTCTATAAATTAAACAAACATGAATCAAATATGGGCGGCTCGATACCAATTGTTGGAAAAACAATAATAATAATAATAATAATAATAATAATTCTGATTTTGATTCTAACGATCAAATATAAACATAATCTCATACCTGATAAACATGCTGTAAAGCCGAATGCGAAAGCGTACTTGAATTAGCCATAACGATGATGTCTTTGTAGAGCACTATATTGATCTTATGGTCTTCCACCTGAAGAGCACCTGTATTTCCCTCTTGATTTTCTCTCTTGATGGGGATAGAAAGAAAGGAACGGGACTGATACTTACGTTCTGTGTGTGCTCCCAGAAGGGGACCATGACCCTTTAGATAACCAGAATTAGGTTAATTACTTAAGTTTTAATATTTCTAATTTGGCCCCTCATCAAATTAGAAATTGCTCTATGGTCTCTACACAATTTTATTTTCATGACATATGTCTTTAGCCAAAATTTTAATTTAGTCAGATCATTTTATTATTTGGCTTAATAAATAATGACCCTAACACATTTAAATATGTATCATATATATACATGACCCAAAATTTGCCAACACATAGTCCTTGCCACTAGCCAAATGTAGATCTGTGAAGGCTCATTTGTCAAAGTAGTGAAGAGAATAATGCTTGATTTATAATTAATGATAATTGATATTAAGAAATAGTAAAAATTGGATCGACTACTAGTGAGAAATCTTCGCAGTAGAATAATAAAAAGATTGATTAATAATTTTGTTAGAAGTATATATTTGCATTAAAAAAAAATACTATCTCACATAATAAAAAGTAAAAACAAACAAAAAAAAAGAACAACATAAAAAGATCATTCAAAATGAATCATCAATAATTAATTGGATAAGTTATAAGTGAACTATAACGCTTAAATGCCAAGACATCCATTACTTTTTCTGAAGTTCACCTGATTGCAACTGTGATTAAACAGTTAAACAAATAAGGGACGTAATAACCAAGATTTGTATTAGGGTAATGATATATTAATAATCCATTTTTCTTAAACATCCCTCCAATAATCATTTTAGATTTTTATATTATTATTTATCTATTTTACTTTTTTTCATCAATTAAATAAAAAATTAATATTTAAAGATTATTTAGAAGATGTTTGAAAAAATTGTGATGTAAAAAAATCTTTTCCTTTGCATTAATAAATGCCCGCAGTTTCTTCCGAGTAGGTTTGGTTTTTAACAAGAAACCAAAGAAAAACCAAGACTCATTCTCCAACACATCCAAATCATTTTCAAATTTCATGACATGCAATTTCATTTTTCTTCTTCATTCCAACTAGTCTTAGTCTACACGAGATTACCATATTTTCCAGGTTTGCCGGCTACAAATATATATATATATATATATATATATATATATATATATATATATATATATATATATATATATATATATCACCACACGCACATCATACTCATGTGCTAACAAAACTTTCTTTCTAATATACATAAACGATGAAAATATTTGAAGCATGGTCTAAAAGTTCCATGCAAGTTCATCCATACAACTGAGATCATGAGAGATAAATTCGGAGGAAAGTACACAATCCAACAACCCAAAATCAAAGTTAGAACTCTCGAAAGAAGCACTGCTTTCAAGATTGCCCTTGCTAGCTTCTATCACATCAGTTCCCTTATCCTCACAAGTCGTGTTCATCTCTTGCTGCACCTCCACTTGTGTTCCCTCTTCAAGAGTTTGAGCGCTGAAATCATCAACATTAACTCTTGAAATCCAATTGACACTGTTCACATTGTTCGGCAATTCAACTGCTGGAGGGTTCATAAATGAGGGTGAACAAATGTTGGAGGCGTGGTCGATTAATAGTTCGTAGGGCAAATCTGATGAGAATTTATTTGAAATAATAGGAGATGTTTGATATTCAGAAGTAACAATGCTGGAGGAAGTTTGAACAACGCTTGGTGGAGGTTTAGGTAATGAAGAAAAGGTTTGAAAAGTAGTTTCCATTGGAGCATTTGGTACGTGTGAACTAATGATGCAAATGGAATTGGAATTTTGATGCATATTGGAGATGGTAGATGCGAAACTTCTTTTATGAGAAGATAGGAGATTGTGGGTTTGTGGATCTAACCCTTGAGAAATGAGCTTTTTTTTTATGCATGAGTTCCAGAAATTCTTAACCTCGTTGTCTGTTCTTCCTGGTAGGTGCTTAGCAATTTGTGCCCATCTGCAGTATACAATAACACATGCATTGATGAATATGCAAACCCTTGCACTGAATTATCTACATCCTCCTTATTATATGATAAGTCGTGTTTTAACTCTTTGTATATTTCTTTTTCCCATACACATTAAGCATGTCTTACTTTTCAAATGTCTATCAAGAGAGATAGAAACAATTTAAATGTAATCTTGTGTTAAAATTTAACAAAATGGGATGAAGGAAAATTTGACAAAGATTTTCTTGTAGAGTTGACTAAATTAAGGTTATGACTGTGGATATCAAAAGGGGTTTCTTATATTCATCTATCTGATCAGTGATTCTTAATTCTTGGTTGTGTGCATAATCTTGCCAAACAAATAATACTGCTCTCATAATACGTTTGTTTTTGGTCTATTAAAAAATATAGAACGTTCCTCTTCCCCCTTTACTACTTTTTTGTGTCTTATTTTCTGTGCTTGTAATTTATCTCCATTACCTGTTTCCAAGAATTCTATGTATGTCAATTATAATCTGCTCTTCTTCAGCAGTGAAGGAACCCCTCTTCAGATCCGGCCTCAGATAATTAATCCATCTCAACCTGCAACTCTTGCCACATCTCTGCAACCCTGCACATAATCAGCAAACCACAACATCATCTTTTATTTGTTCATCATCACAAAACACACACACACACACACACACACACACATACATGAAGAAGGAAATGCTTGCCTGCATATTTTGGCACAGAACTCCAACTTTTATGTCCATGAGTGTTGATATATCTGACAAGTCTCTCATCTTCTTCAGGAGACCATAGTCCTCTTTTTATCTTCTGTTTGCTGCAGCAACGGTGGCCCATTTTTAAGTTCTGTTCAAACACTCTCTACCGAGAATATCGAGCACTTGAGCTTTCGCAACACTACATTTATAAATGGGAGACCTTGGAGGTGATATAATACATGTGGGTCCCAACCCCTATGGTATCAAAATTCTGACTCATTGTGTGTATTGGTGGGGTCAGGAGTGAAAGGGAAGGTTAATTGCTAGAGTGAGAGACAAGTGCAAGGATCGATCTTTCTTATCATTTATCCAAACGGCAACAAATGTGCACTAAGACTTTTCGACAAAGAGGACCAACTGTGATGGGGTGATGAGCGTACTATACCCATTTTCCAAATTGTTTAGGCATTTAATCAAACAGATGAGATCCATGTATAAAAATATAAGAAAAAGGGTGTTTGTCTCACTGGTGTTGTAAACTCTCACGATATGTTTGGAACACATCAATCAGAAAAGAAAACTTCACTTTCTTCTTTTCCATAGTTTGAAACGTGAAAGAATGAAAAATAAAATAAAAATTGTGAGAATCACGACTAATTGCGTTGTGTTTTCGTAGAAATGAAAATGGTGAGGCAGATAATAAAAGTCTAAATTATCTTTTATTATATATATACATATTCATGCAACTAAATAAAAATAGAAATAAAAATATATATATTTTCTTTGTTTGTTTTACAAATCTTTAAAAGGAAAAATAAATTAAAAATAAAATATATTGAAAATGAAAATAAAAAATAAAAGCAGCAAAACAAAAGTAAAAATTGTAAATTAAAAGGAAAAATAGTTATTGAAAACATAAAAAGAAACTAAACAAGGTCATATTTTTTTCTTTTCCATCAAAATATTTTCATAATAGCATAGCCATTTTTATTTTTAACTTTTTTTCTCCTAAATTAAACATAAACTACACAATGTACAAAATCTGTTTATTATTTTAGATCCATGCAACAAAACATCAACGGCCTCTCAGTAAAATTAACTCCTTATGTCTACAAATCTATTTACATCATGTTTACAAAATTCTCATTAGTTTTTTTCAGAAAGAAAATAAAAAAAAATTGACATCATATTCTTCATCAGTTAAAATTAAATTAAACATAAATTAAAATTAATTTATTCTTAAATTAAAATTAAAAGTTTAAATAAATTAGCTTATAAATAAATTATTTTTAATATTTATAAAAAATTAATTATAATTTTTTTTCCTATTTTTCTTTTTAGACGGAGTTTATAGATAAACTCATCCGAATAAATCCTCAACCTTTTTGTAAGTTTTCCTATATTTGACAAGCATGATTATTTTTAAATTATATTTTAATTATATAAACTAAAATACTAATTAATGTGTGATATTTATGAATATGTAGCCGAAATTTTGTGAAAAGTACAAATAAATTTCTTTAGAACATTAATATTCAAAAAGTGTTGAACAAGGAAAAACACTTGTTTTTACACATTTTATAGCAGGAAAACTTATCTATGAATGGAAAATATAATGAATGTAAACCCTATTTGGAGGTGTATAGGTGAAAAGAAGTAAAAAAAAAAAAAAAACAATATGGATAAAATAAGGAAGAGAAAAAGAATATAGATGAGTTAGATGATATAATGAAAAGTAAAAATAAATTAAAAAAATGAGGTGAATTTAAGATGAAAAATAAAGTTAATATAATAATAATAAAAAAATGATGTGAAAATTATATTTTTTGTTTAAACTCTTAATGTTTTCTTCAAATTGGGTATATATAGTGAATTATTTTTTTAGTATATGATGTTATTTAGTCAATTCCACTATAAAGTTAAAACACATATCATATGATTTGAAGTGTTTAAAATGATGTAAATTAGTCTCTTTTGTTATTTATATTATCATAGGATAAAAAAAATTATCGGTAAGTTTAGTGAAACAAAAAATATAAAAATATTTTAGAAATTAACTTAAAAGAATCACAAAATACTTTTTTTATATATATAAATCAAAATTTTATAATTTGTAACAGAGAAGAAAAAAATAAATAAATATTTTAAATAAATATAGATCATATATTAAAAGATGTAATTATTTAAACTAAATATGTTTTGTCCTATTTGTAACTCCTTTGCCAGGTACTTAACTTGTTGTCCCATGAATAGTGAAACGTGAGATGCCTATTTAAGAAACCGACAAGCAAAAAATAAAATAAAAAAACAGGAAAAGGATGAAAGAATCATCAAACGTCCCCATTGGTTTACTGAACCAAATCACGTTTTCAGAAATGAGCTGGACTTCAATCTTCACCTTCACTCTTCTTTCTTCCCCCTCCATTGTCAAATTCAGTACCTTTTATCACCCTCACTAATGCTAATTCAAAATCACTATCCCTCTCCTTTTCATAGCCGCATACCAATCAATTATTAAACATTTTTTTAAATAAACTACACTTATTTGATAGAATGGTTGGGAAATATATCAAATTTTTATTTTTATTTATGAGACATATTTTTCTCCAAGATAAATATAGATAAGATTAATAAAAATTTGATATTATAATAAATATTAATTTAGAATCAATTGAAATGTGACCAATAAATATATAAAGATACAGATGATATAAAATTTTCTTTACCCTTCACTCAATTCCAATTAAGAGAGTCTCACATTATTCATCTCAAATCTCCTTAGATTGGAGAAGTTATCGGAGAGAATCAATTAAGAATTTATGAGTGGGTTGAAGTCTCATCTTGTGTAAAATTGAAAAAGTTGAATAATTTATAAGTAAAAAAATTGTAACATAATATTTAAAGATTTTAAGTTGAAAATGATATCATGTTATCTTATATGGTTGATTCATGTTCCATTTTTTAAAATTTATCTATTGTTAACTCCCTTAAAACTACTTAATAGACTCTCGTATTGTCTCATCCTCAAATCTTCTTAATAGATGAGATTGTTTTACATAAAATCTCTTATCACTTATTTAAAATATCTTTAATAGAGAAATATTAGAGATAACTATACATATTTGGTCATATGAAAGAACGTTTGACGATGTTTTTCTTCGCATATTCAGTTTTCATCCTCATTATTTCACTTATATATTTATTAGATTATTTTGATTAAAGTTAATTAGTATTAAATTCAAATATGATAAAATTATAATGCATTCATATTAACAAATTACTAAATTATGATTTTAGTTTTTTAAATTTTGAGATGATTTTGGTTTTAATCTTTAAATTTAAAAAGAAAGAAAAATATTTTTTAAAGAATAAATATTTTAGTATTTAATACTGACAAGAGTGTACTTAAAAAACTGGGAAACACATGAAAATGAGTAATCTAATTTATATATACTCAGAATTCCACGTTAGACTTTGAAAAATTATGGTGTTCTATAGTAAATCCATTTCGGTGGGTCTATCAAATCTTCACGAAAGTTAGTATGATCTTTGAGAATAATTTTATGCTATTTTGTTTGTGTGTGTCAGAATTGACTGATTGAGAGCTAGTTATCGAGTTGGAATCTAATAAGGGAATAAATAAATTTATTAATTCAAGTCATAAACTATTTCAACTTAAGTCGTTAAATACTATTAAGTTCATTTATTTTAATGAATAATTTAACTTCAAACTTAGTGGTAGAGATATAAGAAAAATGTCAGTTTTGTGTAAGAAAAAGTATACACTTGAGCAAACATATTCTATATTTTCAAATATTCGTGAGCTTTTTATTTTCTTACATTTTTCTTTTTTTTCAAGATAAAAATATCCATTGAACACTAAATTCACGTAAACTAAAATAGATTAAAAAAAAATACGATTAAAGATTGAAAGAGAGTTTTTTTTCCAGTATACAGTTAAGGTCAGTGGATAGATAATTCCGAAGTTTAATTTTTAAAATATTTAATTAGGTGGATTTAAATTTAAATTTAGTATTCAACTTATTTCCAAAGTTATATAATGAATATTAACTTGGTATATATTAAAATGACAAAACAATTCATTTATTCATGATCTAAACCGGTTCATTTAGAAATAAAGTCATTCAATTTATGTATTAAAAAAATAAAAATAAATAGACCAGATTAAATCCCCCGATTTAATTTTATGGATGAAAAATTATTCATTTATATTTCTCAAAACCCAATTAATCTTCTCATTAATATAAAATGATTTAAAATAAATCCAATTAATTTTTCAATGAATTTTCATAAATTCACTTTATTTAATTTTTTATATTTTTACAATCTTTTTGAAGCTTTTGTAAAAAAAAAAATCTTTAATCTTTTGAAATATTATATGTATGGTTGGATTAAATATTCATCGATAAAATAATTATGAATGGAAAAAGAGAATTAGATTTGATTAAAAGAATTTTTATATTAATGTTTGATTAATAATTTGAAATAAAACATGTAACCCAAAATTATAGTAATAGAAAGAGGAGATGAAGAAATGAGAAGGGGAGAAAAGATAGGGTAGTGAGTGATGAAGATTGGGGTCCCCAGTCTAAACCTTACTTTATTACAAGCCATTTTGTTTAATGCATGATGCGAAGCAAGTTTCCTTAATCCCCGTTAAAACAAACTAATGTCCATGGCCAGTGGAATATTCTGATGAATGGGGAGAAGAGTATGTGAGAGAAATAATTTAAAAGAGAGAGTTGAAAGTGGAGTTTTTACTTAAAACGAACATATAAAGTTTGACATGAGAAAAATGTGGCGATATCAGTGTTAGGGATCAAATAATTGGTGTGCCATTATGGGGGTGGACAAGAGGAATTGTAATGATAGTTTCTCGCGGTTGAAATTGTCCATATATAATATGCTCCTCATCACTTTCTCCACTTCATCATTGCCATATTTAAGAGAATGTCCGAAACAAAACAAAAATTTTACTTTTAAAAGTATATTTCTTGTCTTCTATAATCATAATTATCATAGTCTTTTCGGAGTTGTCCAATTCAACCTATTAAAGCAATAGTAATTTCTATTATCAGAACGTTTTGTTTGTTTGGTATGAGTTTAGATATAAGTTAAAGGATAACCCTAAGGATTATTTGTCCAGGTTATATGGGAGTGTGTAGGTAAATAATTAATATCAAAAAGATATTCTATTGGAAGCATTTGATATTTATTATAAATTAATTTTTTATAATAAATATTTTTTCTATAGGTTTA